CAGAAACAACTTTGACTGACTGGCCAGTCCATCGGTCTTACCAAGTAAAAGCACTCTTACTCTGGGACTTACCGCCCAGCAGATCCTCTATTCAGCCAACTACAGGAAAGGTCCTCACCGGCCTTTTCGCACATTCTTGATGCTTTCGCGCAGATTCCTGAGTTGTTCACCGGCACGTGCCACCTGCTTGTGAAACTCGTTGACGGCCTTGTACTCGCTGTAGCGGCCAGTCGCCTCGTCAATCATCTCCGACATGGCCGACAGACGGGCCGATGAGGCACAGCCAAAATGTGGCGGCCAAAGGTGTGATGCTGCACCAGCACACACGCGCAGGGATCTATGAATGTGGTGGATAGATATGCCTTCCTATGGCTTGGTGTGCCTCTCTCGACGTACCTGACACGCGGAGGTGCGAAGGTCGGTTGGTTGGTTATTGTGTTTAGTGAGACGAAGGTCGGTAGCTCAGCCGATTGGCGTTGTTTTCCGCGAATCACGGGGGCCGCCAGGGGGCGGGCGTTTCGAGTCTCAGCAGATTCGTGCCAAGTGCGGGATGTTGGCTTTGTTGCGCACGCAGCGCAGCCCCCGTGTGCATAGCCTGGAGGGCGACAGTGTGAGAGACGGCCACAGCCGCCCCAGTGGTGTGGATGAGGCGTGCTACATCCAGCTGCCGAGAGTCGACGAGGGTGACGCTGCCGGACAGCAGGCCATCCACCACACACAGACGGGCCATCCCAAGGTCACCCTGCAATGCCCGTTTTGCACCTCTGCACACACACTGACCAGCGGCTGCCTCTGACGAGTGGTGTCTGTGTCTGTCTGTCCACTGCAGATGGCGTCGGCCTCGAGTGAGCACATTCCTCTGCTGCTGGACGATGGCCAAGGGCTGATGGAGCCCCAGCTGCCCGACGTCACCGATGACATCACCAAGGCACCGAGACGCTTCGAGCAGGTGGGCTGGTGTCACTCGACTCTGATGAGTCTATTGGACGTCTGTGTGTCATCTGCAGGTCCCCTTGGTGGGCGCCCCGGCCGCCGACGATTGGAAACCGACAGATGCCCTGAGAAACAGCATCAAGAAGGCCATCAATGAGTCAGATGCGGAGGGCCTGCGGAAATCCCTCGCTGGTCTGTCGCCTGAGCAAGCCGAGAAAGCCCTGACGACTGGAGAATGGAACCCATTCGTGCCAAGCACAGGCTCTGCCATCCATTATGCCATACGTATGCCTTGTCGCATCACTGCACAGACATGATGCGGAAACGCATGCCCTGTGTGTGCTCCTCAGATGTGAAGTGTAAGGATGTGAAGGTCTTTGAGGTGTTGCTGCACAACCGACGCCAACTGCTCAACCTGAAATCTGGGGTATCATGCTGGGATGCTCATTGGTGACGTCTTCACTGTTGCCTTCGATGATTCAGTATGGCAATTCGCCTCTTCAATTGGCAGCAATGAGCGGGTCAGTCGGTGTTGTGGAGAAACTTGTCGAGTTGGGTGGAAAGGAATTGCTGGAAGCTCGCGACGAGGTAAGGAAAGTGGTGGCTGAAACAGCGTGTGTCTTGTTCATGCTCTGATTCAGAATGGGGAGACGCCCCTTCATTGGGCCGCATGTCAGTCACTCCTGCAAATGGCGGCCACACAAGTACATGAGTCCTTAACGTGTCTCTTTGCCCTCTCCTGCAGTAAAGGGCAATGTCGCTGTGGTGAAGTGGATGCTGAAGGTGAACCCGCAGCTGCTGAAGACCAAAGCCAACGTAGGCTGCACTGCACGCATCGAACCATGTGCTCTAATGTCCATCCTCATGACTCTGACAGCATGAAAAGACGCCTCTCGACCGTGCCCTCGAGCCTTTTGATTCTGAATACGAAACAAGAGAACCGAAAGTCGTCGCTGCGATGCTTGCCGTGGCTGGAGGTGTGGTCATCGAGCTGCTCGAGACAGATAAGGAGCGTCTCAACAAGATGTTGCAGCCAGAGGTTTTTCCCACAGCCGCTCCCTTTGTGGGTCGCGGCATTGGAGAGCGCCGGAGACAATCCGATTCGCTGGCCGTCGACAGTCTCCGCTGGTGCTCTACCTTCCGTGGACTGATTAAGACCCGACAGAAAGACTCCCTCACAGAGTGAGCTTGAACAGCGGACCAGAGCACGGCAACGCGGTGACTTTGAGAAGACAGCAGGCTGGATGGAAGTAGACAATCCCTAACACACACACGGCATCTTCAACTTGTGCATCTAATTATTGAATCGGTTCAGGCGCTCACAGCCAACTTCTGCAGCGATACCATGTCCCAGGACTTTAAACAGTCACTTCAGGGCAGAACGAGAGAGTGGTTTGCGCTGCTTTACTGTCGTCACTCAAGGTAAAACGCACAAGAGATTTGCGCCTCTCCTGCTGTTGCTGTCTGCCGTTGATGTCTTCTCCTGCTGTTGCGAGTGATTGCAAAAGCCAACTGCATCTCCCTCGTCGAACACTATTGGCAACCACCACGTGATGGAGAGCCGAAAATTCAGCTGTCGCCCCGCGATGTCTTCATAACCCGCGTGCTGTCAATGCTGCTCATGTGAGACGGCAGCTATGGACCACGACGAAGGCAGAGAGACATCGTGTCTCTATCTGTATGTTGCAGGGTCGCCTTTGTGATGCTCCACATCGAATCGATCAAGGGAGACAGCGGCGTGATGATGACGTGGGGGTGGCCGTCGGTGTGGCCGTCGATGTGGCTGTGGGGAGCAGTTCTGACGGGCTGCGGCTTTATCCTTCTGGAGGTCTTCCAGGTAAGAAAGACGAGGGGATACACGCCTGACTGATCAACAACAGATCAAAAACGACATGTGTCCTCGTCTGTGTGCGTGTGCAGGGCATCCGGCTGAAGGCAGCGTACTGGGAGGACTCATGGTATGCGTCATGCTTCGTCCTGCCAGATTCATCCCTGTGCTGTCGGTGTGTGTTGACGTGCATTAATTTAGGAACATCATAGATACTTCGGGCGCCGTGTCGATCGCTGTCTTCACTGCCATTCACTTCATTGGCTGGTCCTCAGAAGCAGAGGTCGGCTCAGCAATTCTGGTCGCTCTGCTCTTTGCGCTGCGCCTCCTCCAAACCGCCAGCCTGCACCCAATTGTTGGACCTCTCATACTGTCAGCGAGAGAGACAGCGACAGACACACACAGACACACAGAGAGGTGTCTTATGCTGTGTGTGACGGGTGTGTGTCAGAGCGGTGATGAGGATGTTTTCGGACATCAGCATGTTTCTGTGTCTGTACGTCTACATCCTGCTGGTCTTCGCGGGCGTCTTCACCGTCCTCTCGTCCGACGAGGACCACCAGGACTTCGGCTCCTTCCCCAAAGCCACACTCACTCTGTGCGCATGGGACCTCATGAGAAGACACAGAGGAAAGAGACACCTGCCCCTCTCCGTTTCGTTGTGTTGTGCAGTTTCTATGCCGGACAGGGCGACTTTAGTGACGCGCTGACCAACGCCATAGAGAGCCACGACACGCTGGGCACCATCCTGCTCTTCACTTACGTCATCCTCTCGTCCATCATACTCGTACGTCGGCACCACTCGCCCAGTCACCAACACACAAGAAGACCCTCCCTTTCTTGTCTGTCTGCCGGTGTGCATCAACAGCTCAACCTCCTCATTGCCATCATGGTGAGACAGACGAGAGACACACACAGACGAGACATTAAACGGGCCACGAAATTGTTCAATGCTCCTGTATGCGTGTCTGTCTGTCTGTCTGTGGCAGGCGTCGACGTATGCGGCCATCGAGGAGACACAGACAGCACAATACCAGTAAGTCAAGAGGAAACAGATAGGTGACAGCAAGGGACGCCAACGATACATTTGCCAATGAGTGCAGGCTGCTGCGTATTCGCGTGTTGAACGAGTACCTCACAATGCCTCGCCACGAGCGCCTTCCGCCGCCATTCAACCTCATCGGTAGGTGCCACAAGAGACATGAGCTGCATCTTCAATCGCATGTGGGCATCTGTGTCTGTGCAGCTTTGGTCGTGTCGGTGCCCTTGCGGCATCTCGCCTCCCACATCAGTGGACAACGGCGACGGCAGTCGGCACTCTGCTGCATTGTCTACTGGTTGATGAAGGCCGTCTACAGCACCGTCGATGCGCTCCTGTACTCTGTCGCCTTCACACCCGTGGCCATCTACGGAGTGCTGGGGCTACTCCAACGACAGATACGCGAGGGAAAGTATCGGGCGGTACTGACCATAATCGTTGGCATCCTTGTGATGCCCGTTAATCTTCTGTGCGCATACGCCCAGCATGTGAGGGTGAAAAGACACGTGAGATGAGACAAGCAATGACCACGCCTCACTTCTTTGGCGTGGTCGGGTAGGAATCGCTGTTCACTTCTGACGCCACCGAAACTGAAAATTCGTGGATGGCTCATGAGAGGCGCGAAGCGCGGGACAAAATCAAGGACAGCATCGACAAGTGGATTGAGGCGGCAGATCATCATGACTCTAACTCCCCTGACGTCATGGCAGGTGAGACACGGACGAAGCCACGGCCACACAGGCAAACAGACAGCACATCGCAGGAGTGAAGAGGCTGTGTTTTATTTGTCCTCGCCTTAACTTATTTTTCTTTTTCTCTCGACGGTCCCAGTTGTGCAACAAATCGACAATCGACTCACGGAGATTGACAGACGACAAGACGCCCGGCACACGCAGATGGAGAAGCGACTGACGGAAATGAAGACATACATCAGGGCGAGGATCAAATAGGCGGCGTGGGACAGCAACTGACTGCAAGGCCTCAGCTCTGCGTGGCTCCTGCCAGTGCAGTGGCTCCTGCCAGTGCAGTGGCTCCTGCTTGAATGAAACAGGATCGACTGCACGGCCTCTAGATGAAAAAGATACACCAATCGTGATGGATATTCCGTGCAGACATCAATTGCCGGCGTGCCTCAATCCGTGTGACAGCTGCCTTCGATTACGTGTGACAATTACGTGTGACACGTACAGTCGCTATCAGAACAACCTGCACAGCCAAGGCTGACACACGTCAATTTCGACTGAGTGCACATCACTGAGAGGCACCATTGAGGCTCTCAATCACGCCCCATAGTCTCACACACTGCATGGAGACGTATGTACACTCTGTGTACACTAAGCAATCAGTGCCGATTCAGCCCACCTTCGATTTTCTGGGGAGTGTTCCCTGGTTACATGTGTATTATGTGCGTGTGTGAGTTTCCCTGCAAAAGCTGTGAATGTTATACTTGTGTCACCCAGGTCACTTCTCCTGTTCTAGCACAACTCGGTCGCTAACATCATCGTCATTGATGGGCAGACACCAAGCACGATAGAGCACCATTGACACCCAGCCCGCAGCCAACATATGCAGAGCAGCCGATGTCTCAGAGCAGCCACTTCAGCAACCAACTGCCCCACAGCGACACACACATCCCTCCGTTCCTCTTCCCCTCCACCCACCCACAAGGCACCTAACGGCCACTCACCGAATGGCATTCATCCACGGGTTACATGGACATACCTCACTGTGCCACTGCCACCCACATCTTTGGGCACAATAAGCCGATATGTTTCGCCCTGACGCATCAAGAGAAGCACTTCACCCAACCATGTCGGCTGAGAAGCTGCACTCGTAGAGAGTCTCCTGTGGAGTACTTTAGCGTTGCCATCGAACGCATCACGCCACTCGGTCCAGGTGATCGGTACTTGCTGATCGGCAGAAGGTGTGCTCCCCGTACCCTGCTGCACCACCTTGTACTGCACTCCCGACGGCAATCGCTTGAAGACATCACTGAGCAATGACAGACAAGACAGCGAGTGAGGACAGACGCCAGTGCGCTCTGTGCTGTCGGTATCTTACAGTGGCTGCTGCCCGGGTGTTGTCTGCCCGAGGCCACCGCTGAACGATCAAGAATGCAGAGAATCAGCACGCGATTGTCGGTCCTTCCGCGTCGTCTAAGACTCACAATGTCTGATGTGCTTTGCTGGCTTTGGGGCTCTCGTCGGTGAGGCCGTACATAAACGCATTGATGTCGAACGCATCCTGCTCAGTGGGATCGGCCATTTTGAGCACCACAGCCATCTCAGCCGCCGACGCGCCAAGCCGTTTACGGCGGTAGTGATCGACCATACGGCTGACGTGGTCGGCCTGGACATCCTCCACTGGACGAGACCACCTGCGCACCAAACACAAAGCAGCGATGGACCGTCGTGCGTATTGAGTATCTGTCTGGTGCTTACATGTCAACGCGGTTCCGAAGTTTGTCGCTCATTTCGTCGACGGTGGACTGTGTGGTGCTGATTTTCTCTCCACAAACCTCCACCGAGCGAATCGATTCGTTGCCACTCACAGGTCGCAGAAACGGTGTGACGGCCTGATCCACACATACAGGAAGAGCATCGGACTATATGTAGCTCGTCCTCTTGCCGCTGCTTTCTGATGCTCACCTTGATTTCGTTGTCGAGGTTTTCGCCTCGTCGTTTGGCGGCCGCTAGCTCACCCTCCAGCCGGGCCTCCTCTGCAGCAAAAGCCTTGACGAAGCTGTCGACCACTTTCATGAAGTCAGCGAGGCTCTTGGGAGTCCCAGTGGACGACACCGTCGGCTCAATGATGGTACCAGCGGTCCCTGCAGCAGTCGAGTCGATTGGTGACAGCATCAACTTGATCCAGTAATCGTGAAGCCCTGCGTGAACATACCGCACACACACAGAGAGAGAGAGAGAGAGAGATGTGGACAAATGAACAAGGAAACCTCTCCCTCTCACTTTGTTCACTCACCAGTGAAGTTGCGCCTTCTTGCGTCTTCGAGCAGGTGGCTGATGGAGGCCTGCGTGTCAGCCGTCCGGACGGTGGCGCTTCGGATAGTTTCGGCAGCCAAGATGGCCGTGTGGATGACCTTGAAGGCGGCCGAATCCACATCGACGAACATGCGCTCTTTCTTGTCCCTGTCGGTGAGCTTGATGAAACGGCCGTCACAGCTCCCACCGAACAGAGTGGCCAGCAGGGTCCCCTCGACGCCCCCTCCTTGCGTGAGGCGCTGACGCTTCACTCTCAGCTCGTAACCGCCCACATCGAGCAGCAGCACGTCGCCAGGCGAGGCCTTTGCCGCATCTGAGGCGCCGTGTTTCTGCCGCTCTTGCTGGGCGTCATTGTCAGCTTGTTTGATTTGTTTATGAAGGGATTCGATGGCGTCGCTGGCCTTGGTCGTGGGAACGTGGAGTTGGTTGAAAATGGAGATGACGCTGAATTTCTGGGCTGACAGCTCGGCCTGCATCTTCGGTATGAGTCACCAAACGTCGCTGCATCAGCAGCACACACATACAAAAGTCGATTTATCGGCAGATCTGCGTCCTTTGTCGTGATGTAGCACTCCTTGACCCACCTCATGCTCGCCCCTGGTGCTCTTTCGCCTAGCCTCTTGCCGGAGGATGGGAAGCTCGCATTTGGATCGCGCTACCCATCCCCTCTGTGCGTCGTGTGAGATGTGAGCCACGTGAAACACTGCACAAGGGAAAGCAAAAAAGACTGAGGCCAATGCTTTTCTTCTCTGCCTGACTTCAGTGTGATGATGAGCGACCGCGTTGTCGGCCTCTTCGACGGTCATTTTGTGTATGAGGATGGCCACGGAGGCTATGAGATGGACGTGCAGGGGGAGCGCCGGGCCATCTTGCCTGCCTTTTACCAGCAGATCAAGCTGTGCTTTGGTGACCCCGAGAACAGCAGCAGCCACCAGCCCAACCAAGAATGGTATGTTCCACAAGATGCGCAGAGAAGGGGAGAGTCGGTTAACTGAGTGTACATATGTGTGTGTTTTGTTCTCGCTGTCAGTGCTGACGCGCCGAAGATCCCTCGTGAAGCCAGGTAACCGCAGCAAAGACATCATGCACGCATTTCTGTATCCTCTCTCTCTGTGTGTGCGTGTGTATTTTGTCAGCGGTGAGTCGGTGCCCCACCGCCAGCGCGTGACTTCATCCTCACCTTCACCTGTAGCAGCAGCAGCAGCAGCAGCAATGGCGGCGATGAGACGGAAAGAGCCCATCGAAGTGACGGACCTCGGCGTGCAGCACCAGGTTGTGCAGCAGGGCGCCGGCCGCCAGCCGACCGCCAACGATCGAGTGACCTTCGACATCACCATGTGGGAGGACAAAATCCACGGCGGCATCAAGACGGTGGAGTGCCATGGCGTGACGTGTGCCGTGAGCGACGGGCTGCTGTGCGACTGGCAGAGGGAGGCGGTGCTGCTCATGTCTGCGGGGGAGGTGCGGCACCTCACTGTGCCGCCAGAGGTGCAGGAATGGGTGCTGCGGGACAAGCGGATGGGATATGCCGAGATGAGGCTGGTGGCCATCCATGGTGAGGATTAGTCGGCTGTCGATCTGTGTAGAGAGGGGGGGCTCATAGGGGAGCTGGGTGGGCGGTTTGTGTGCGGGTCGCTGATCGTTCGAACGTGGTGTGTGGTGGGGTAGCCGCCTTGTTTGATAGCTATGGTTGCATGTCTGACGGTTTTCACCCATGGATGGATTGTCACGTCGCTGGTTTGTGTGTGTGTGTGTGTGTGTACAGAGGCGAATGGGACTCATCTTTGTGCAATAATTCCAAATGCCTGTTCGGATCCCAAGATGCATTCATCATCATGTTGCAATCAATGCAGTCGATCACATCAGAGTCTCACACACATGAACCCACACATGAGTCCTTCGTGTGCATCCATCTGTCGAGAGAGGATGGCGGAATGAGCCAACTAGCCGGAAAGAGAGACAGGGATGACGGTGGAATACTAGAAATGATGGGATTGTTTCGAGCCCTTTCTGCACTTGTCTGTGTGTCCCTTAGGCGGATCTACGCACACCTACGCGCACTCTACGCCCCACCCTCGGTGGTATATCTGTCTGTCGTCTGTGTGTGATAGAGTCAGTCGTCCTCCTCCTCGGCTCCCGTGCTCGCGTCCTCCATCTCCGCATCGCTCTCGTCGCTCTCCTCGTCGTCCGATGGCTCCTCGTCGGTGTACACCTCCACCTTGAGGCTGCTGTCGACGGCCTCCTCGAGATCGGAGGACCTGCATGCAAGGGAAAAAGCATTGCATGGGCACTCGTCAGGTGCATCGACGCATTCCTGTGTGTCTTTTTGCGGCGTGTGATGGATGTCTTACTCGAACCTGTCGATATGCTTTTGATCCAAGTCGAACGGTCCCGCAATCATCTCCCCGCGCCTGCCGTTGCCCTTCTTCTCCCACAGGGTGGCCTGGAGGAGGGTTTGCTTGTTGGTGGTGCCCCTGACGACCACCTCGCCCTTCCGCCACTCATCCCGCCGCCCTCCCCGAACCACCAGGCCTTCCCCGGCCTCGCCGGGAACGCCCGTGTCACCGACATGTCGCGGCGGTCAGGTACGTCTGCTGGGGGTCTGCAGCTTTCAGTCCGTCTGCATTCGCGGTCCTTCGGTTCGCAGGTGCTGTGAGAGAACTTGTTGTCCGTTTCCTTTTCGACGCCCACGATTTCTGGGGCTGGGGGTGGGGGCTGAGACTGCGTTCCTTCCGCGCTTTGCAGATGGCGTTTTTCGCTGCAGAGAATGGCCTTCTTGATAATCCTCTCGTACATGCGTGCAAAGTTGGTGTGCATGCGCTGTTGAAAAGGTGCGCGAGCTTCCAGGGATCGCTGAGCGGGCGAGAGGAGGGAATTGTTCCTGCGCATCCCGCTGGGCCCGTCACTTGCACCATGTGAGGTCGGTCCGGCATCGCATCTGACACGGCGATAGCGTGTAGCAATGATGGGTGGCTCGGGGGATCTGGAGGATCTGTCGGGCCACACCACAGCACCTGGCACCATGATTAGCAAGGTGAGTGGGAGCTGTAGGGGAGCTGACGGGTCGGAAGATAACTGGCAAGTGACGACGAGTTTGCTGCCGTACTGTGTGTGTTTTCGTTTGATGCAGTTGTGTACCGACGCTAGTTTGTTGCGCGAGGGGCTCCAGAGGCTGCAGAGGGATGCACAGCAGAGCTGCGAGACGTACCAGCGAGATGGCGGTGGGTTGGCCAAGGCGTTGCTTTCGTCTGTGGTGTCACAAGTATTTGCTGCTGAGGCCTCCATGGCTGGTGCAATGGACTCCCTCACCACAATGGCGGCCATGGCCCTCCCACAGCCAGCGGACGACACTGGCGCGTCCTCTGCTGCTGCTGCTGCTGCTGCTGTGGCCATCGCAGTGTCCCAGGAAGAGCCCAATGCTGAGGTATGAAGGACTAAGAGGGATTGGTGCAGGGTGGCATATGTGCATTTCTGTCCTGTTGCTGTGTTGCTGGCTGGTGCAGAGTAGTGCTATGGTAGATGAGGCGGCCGCCCCGACGCCATCGTTTCGCCTGGTCCACAAGTCGGGGAACCCGCCGCCGAACACTGGACCGGTGAGAGCAAGACAACAAAGACCGCCCATACGTGATCCTGGCGACCTCTGTGTGTCAATGTGTGTCTTGTACAGCCGTCCTTTCGCCTTTCCCGCGATGAGCTGGCGTGTGTGTTCGGCTTCTACCAGCCATCGGAGCTGACCCAGGTCGCCCCCACACTCCGCAAAACCCTCTTCGGCTGGGCGGCGCAGCAATACACCCACCTGACCATCGACGGCTCGGACAAGGGCGGCGTGCGCCAGCAGTGGGAGCGAATGCCGCTGGAGGTGGCACACCGATGGGGCCGCCGGGCCACCAACCTCACCCACCTGCACGTCATATACCCACGGGGAACCAGCCGCTGGTGTCGTGGGACCTGGGTGGCGCTGATCGAGGGCAATGCCGAGGCCAGGAAGGCCACGAAGGAGAAGAGGGAGGAGGAGCAGGGCGAGAGCGGGGCAGCAGCAGCAGCATCGGCAGCAGCCAGAGGGCAGGACCATGCATCCGCGGCGTCATCCATCAAGGTGCTCAGCTTCGAGGAGGATAGCGACGGAGAGCCGAATTGTGAGGCCAACGACGTCTCGTCCGACCCCCTGCCCCCGTCCCCCTCGCCCGTCGACCTGTCAGCCCTCGAGGAGGTGCACAACCTGCCATACGGCTGCGCGGAAGTCCGCACGAGCGATCGTGTGTGGCAGACGCCGTCGGTCCGGGTCATGACATTCGAGTGGGACGATACTCCTGATCCTGAACGCGCGATCGGGGAGTGGATGGCCTCATGCGAGCATCTGGAGATATTTGACGACGACGGCACCTTCGAGACCAAGGCGGAGCTGCTGTGCATGCCGCCCCCCGGCACCTCCCTCGCCCGCCTCCGATCCATTGGCCCCATCTTTCTGCAGTACGGAGAGGCAGACGATTACCAAGATCGAGTGGCCGGCCTGCGGCAGGCCCTTGTGGCGCGGGGATGCCGGAAGTCCCTCCGCGAGCTGTCCATCGAGGCCAGCGAGATCACCGCCGAGAACAAGGGGCTGCTGCGAGAGGTGGCCCTGCTGTCGGAGGCTGTGCTGCACCCAGAGGCCCTCAGCGAGGCCCCAGTCGTCAAGTTGACACATGGTCGTGAGATGGAGGTGGAGCTCATTGAATGGATGGCCAATGAAAGCCCTCAGGTAGCAATCACACCATGGGCGGCTGCACGTCAACACCTCTACCCACAGTTGTTCCCCGTGTGCTCTGTCTGTGTGCCTGCAGGTGCAGAAGCTCGTTCGTGAGTTGGCCTCTGTCGCTGAGGTAGTCTCCTACAACAACGAGCTCACCGACCCCAATGCCGCCGCACACGCGACGGTCTTCCCCTGCGCCACCACATTCCGCTGCACGGCGGGAGAGCTGTCGGCTGAGGAGATCGACGGCCTCGCCAAGACGGTCGCCAGCAGCATGCCCCAGTGCCGCACCATCCACCTTGGAGACGCAGACGAGGACGCGCTGAAGCATGCTGTGGCGTTTCTGAGATCACTCAGGAGGCACATGGCTACAGAGGATGGCCAAGGGGGCGGCGAGGGGGAGGGGGAGAAGCACCTGTCAGTGACAATTGCAGTGTCGGTGACTGGCATCTTACATCGTAGCCTGCCGCTGCAGCTGTGGCCGAACCGCGACCTGCCGGCCATCGACGACGTCTTCATCAGAGTGATGGGTAAGATGCTTACCACTAACGTCAGTCACGTTTGACGTCTTGTCTTGGTGTGGCTATACAGGCAGCCTGCCACCTGGCGCGACAGAGGAGGCCCTTTACGGCTCGCTCATGGCGTCGCTCACTGGCGTCATGTCGCGACCCGGCGTGAGCAAGGCCTCTGCATGGCTCTGCCACTCTGTGCTTAAGGGCGTGCGGCGGCTGTTCAACACGCACCTGGCGGCGTTTAACCTGCTGGGCGCACCATACACCATCACCATGCGGTACGACACCATCACCATCGCCAGGCGCACATAGACGACACACAGTTGCTGGTGAGGAGGGGAAGGGATTTGACAGGGCATACACCTGTGCTTCAGGTGTTCTGTCCTTGTGTGTGTCTTGGTAGGTAGCCGTAGATCTAGATTCGAATATCGGCAGCCTGCCTGCTGTTGGATGGAGCAAATATTGGTGGCTGCGGGCGTGGCGGAGGGACACAGCCGATCGGACTGGCTGTCGATTGCTGGGTAGACACTAGTGGATGGATGGACACATGTACGTGCAGCGGCTGTCGAACATTGAGTATGCCCGACTGCTGCATAGGTGTGTGTGTGTGCGAATTAAATCGATGCATAATGTGGGATCGGCCTTGTGGGCTTCGCTCCTGCACACATCAGGTCAAACCGCCTTTTTTAGATCGCTGCAACCGAGCTAATGGATGGACGAGTCAGCTACGCAGTCATCAGTGTCACGAGCCATGCACATCCATCCAGCTGTGCATCACGCCAGGTCAGAGCTTCGCATGGCTGTGTCTGTCTGCCCCCCCTCCTAAGAATGCGCTGCTCCTATAGGTAGGTGGTGATGAACAGCGGGCACTGGCGAAGCGTCACTAAATCCGCCACCAGATCGCCCGCCTCGTCCGCACTGCTGCTAATCGTGCTGGTGGTGGAGGTGGTGCCACCACCGCCCTCCTGAGGATGCCCCTCAGCGGCATTCAGATCACACACCACCTCGCGAATCATCTCCCTGCACACGAGCACAACACACATACACAGATCAGCCATTCCATTGGGGAGGCGTGTGTGTGGGGGTGTTGGTGTGAGAGACATACCTGACGAGCGGTGCGGTGACTCTGTCTGCAGCAGCTGCCTTGTGTCGCTTGTGAGTCACGACGGACAGGGGGGCGCGGGAGTGGCTGTCGGCGTCAGGGACGGCAGCCGGGGGCGACTCGAACGGCACACCGTGGCGGATCTGCTGCCAGATCTGACACACGCACACACACATACACACATACACCTCGGTCGTCATGGATGCGTCCACGGTGTGGAGGGATCGGGGGGCTGGTGGTACCTGAGCACGCGAGATTTCAGCAGTGGCGGAGTCTTCTACTTTGCCGTTCATAATGAGGTGGCCCCGCCCCTCCAGCCAGCCCTTGACGTAGCGCACACACACCTACACGCACACAGCAGACGAGACCCGTGTGACGTGACGGCCGCTCTTGGTGGCTGGCTGACCTCTATGTTGGTGCGGAGGCTGTCGAGAGAGACGTCGTTTTCTGCACACATACGAACAGACACACATACGCACAGAGGGAGAGAGGGAGACAGAGCGGATGGAATATTTTGTGTGGCTGTGCTAATTCACGCCAGCGTGCCTGTGGGTATCTGCAGCAGGTCGTGCGCCGTCACGGTATCGGCATCGCGGGCAGCGTAAGACGACAGCTGATTCGGACACCTGGGTAGCACACACCACCCACACAGACAAATGATTCCCTGACGTGGCGTTGAGAGGCATCCCACCCCGAGCCACCCTACCCTTTTGCGAAGTGCTTGGCGAATGCGTCCTGGATGGGCTGCACCAGCGACAGGTCGTACACGAGCGCACCGTCCGCACCAGCCAGCGCATCGCCCTCCTTGGCCGACACACACGCACTCACCTGCAGAGCCAACACACCCACCACACAGACAGACAACAGGCAGGCCATCAGTTTGTCCAAGGGCCTTGACTGCATGTGTGTGGATGGTTTGTGTGTACCAGTAGTTGTTTGTCGTGTGTGGTGAGTGAGCCGTCGTCGACGCCAGCGAACATGCCGCCGGTGGCCGGGGCGCCGCGCCTGAGAGGAAGGCCAAGGAACGAAGCGACATCCATCGGTGTGTGTGAGAGGAGAGAAAGGTGTACCTGTGGCAGGTGGCTATGACCTTCCTCCGGTAGCTTTTCATGAAGTGACGATCCATCGACACATAACTACACACACAGATGCACACACAGACACAGACACGCTGATGCCGTCCGTGTGCGCCCTTCTCCAACACCATGGTGTCCGCCCACCGGTTTCTATCGGGGAATATTTTGCGTCTGTCGTGGCCCATGCGTGTGATGAACGAGGCCGCGTAGTCCCACATGCCGCAGTTGAGGCCGGCCGAGTGGTTCCGCAGCTCCCACAGCATCTCGTCCATCTCAAAGGCCGCCGGCAGACTCTCAATCAACACACACGCTAAACCAATTACACACACTAGCACACACACACACGAAGCGCACAAAATCACGAGTCTCTCTCTCTCTCTCTCTCGTCCCTCTCTCTCTGTCGCACCTTTGATGGTGTTTGCGGGAATGTCGAGGGCCTCCTCTGTCCATGCGAAGATCCTGTCCCACAGAGCGGCCTCACTCGCACTCTCCAGCTGCAGCACACAGACACAGACAGACACAGAAACGAGACGAACCACCCACTTGTCAAGTGAGTGCATCCCTCTGCTTGTTTGGTGGGTGTGTGTGTGTACCTTTGAGAGGTAGAGGAACGGTCCCCTGCTGAGTTCCGCCAGGTGTCGGCCGGAGGAGAAGACAAACATGCCAAAGCCGAACAAGGCTCCGCTCACTCGACGACCTGCACACACACACACACACACACACACACAGGGAGGGAGAGAGAGAGATGTCGTCCATCTGGATAGGGGTTCGTGTGTCGCTGACCGTTGACCATGACGTTTGCCTCGATCATGTTCCATGCACGAGGGCTGCAACACAACACAGCACAACACAACACAACACAGCACAACGATCAAAATGGCACATCCATCCATCCATCGATGTGGCGGTCTCACTCTGACTCACCGGACCATCATGACGGTGGAGGTGCCGTCTGTGGCCGCACGTGTGTGGCCCTCCTGGTCGCCCGGCAGCTGGCCCCTGGCTGCGTTGGCCACATTGAGGTGACCGATCAGCACATTCCGCCACGACGGACAGAAGCCGTCGTCAAAGTCAACCTGCACACACACACACAGACTCTGATTGTTTCAGCCTCGACGACTGTCATGCGATTGAGTGGCTGTGACTGACCTGGACGCCCTGTGCGCCGGAGAGCATGGCGTTCCGCAGTAGAGGTCCGTTGGAGGGGTCCACATCGCCGATGTCCACTCGGCGGTCGAGCAATGCCGCTGGCAGGGGGGCTATCCTCTAATCAGACGACCTGCAGACATCACAGACAGACAGACTGACAGACAGACGAACAGACAAGTGGATCAGTGTCTCGTGATCTCGAGGCTCACTTGATTTGTGCGGATGGATGTGCTACCTGTATGAGTGGACGTGTTGCATTTGACTTTTCAAATGCAACACGTCAATCAATGAAAGCAGAGACAGAATTGGGTACTTTGTTACACTATAGGACACGGCAGGTTGACCGCACACCCAGCCAGCGCAATGCAGAGCAGCAAATCAAATCCCATCAGAGCAGTCGAGCAAACAAAAGACGACCTTCGAGCCAGACGGCAAGAGATCATCACTCACAGGTGTGCGAAAAGGCCGGTGAGGACCTTTCCTGTAGTTAGCTGAATAGAGGATCTGCTGGGCGGTAAGTCCCAGAGTAAGAGTGCTTTTACTTTAATAAGACCGATGGACTGGCCAATCAGTCAAAGTTGTTTCTGTCCATGTATGGCATCATGAAGGGTGGTCAACACAGATCTCACTTCGGTGATGGCTGATAAGATCGTGTCTCCTCAGAA